GCTTTTTGTAGTTTTTAGGAATTGAGCCGTTTTGGTGTCCGGGGAAGGAAATTCCTGATGCCGGGGTCAGGGATTTTTGTGCTACGGAGGTGAAATTTTTTTTTTTTGACCCAAATGTAAAAATGGATGTCAGAATGGGATTTGGGGTTACATTTCATGCTTAAAAATGGTGCTTTTTGTAGTTTTTAAGATTTGAGCCGTTTTGGTGTCCGGGGAAGGAAATTCCTGATGCCAGGGTCAGGTATTTTTGTACTCTAGAGGTGAAATTTTTCTTGGACCCAAATGTAAACAAGGATGTCAGAATGGAATTTGGGGTTAAGTTTCATGCTTAAAAATGGTTCTTTTTGTAGTTTTTAAAAATTGAGCCGTTTTGGTGTCCAGGGAAGGAAATTCCTGATCCGGGGTCAGGGATTTTTGTGCTCCGGAGATGAATTTTGTTCGACCCAAATGTGAAAACGGACGTTAGAATGGGATTTTGTGTTAAATTTCATGCTTAAAAATGGTGCTTTTTGTAGTTTTTAAGAATTGACCCGTTTTGGTGTCCAGGGAAGGAAATTCCTGATGCCGGGGTCAGGGATTTTTGTGCTCTGGATGTGAAAATTTTTTTTTGAACCAAATGTAAAAATGGACGTGAGAATGGGATTCGGGGTTAAATTTCATGCTTAAAAATGGTCCTTTTTGTAATTTTTAAAAATTGAGCAGTTTTGGTGTCCAGGGAAGGAAATTCCTGATGCCGGGGTCAGGGATGTTTTTGCTCCGGAGGTGAAAATTTTTTTTTGACCCAAATGTAAAAACGGACATCAGAATGGGATTTGGGGTTAAATTTCATGCTTAAAAATGGTGCTTTTTGTAGTTTTTAAAAATTGAGCCGTTTTGGTGTCTGGGGAAGGAAATTCTTGATGCCGGGGTCAGGGATTTTTGTGCTCTGGATGTGAAAAATTTTTTTTGAACCAAATGTAAAAATGGACGTGAGAATGGGATTCGGGGTTAAATTTCATGCTTAAAAATGGTCCTTTTAGTAATTTTTAAAAATTGAGCCGTTTTGGTGTCCAAGGAAGGAAATTCTTGATGCCGGGGTCAGGGATTTTTGTGCTCCAGAGGGGAACATTTTTTTTTTGACCCAAATGTAAACACGGACGTCAGAATGGGATTCGGGGTTAAATTTCATGCTTAAAAATGGTGCTTTTTGTAGTTTTTAAAAACTGAGTCGTTTTGGTGCCCTGGCAAGGAAATTCCTGATGCCGGGGTCAGGGATGTTTGTGCTTCGGAGGTGAAAATTTCTTTTTGACTCAAATGTAAACACGGACGTCAGAATGGGATTCGGGGTTAAATTTCATGCTTAAAAATGGTGCTTTTTGTAGTTTTTAAAAACTGAGTCGTTTTGGTGCCCTGGCAAGGAAATTCTTGATGCCGGGGTCAGGGATTTTTGTGCTCTAGAGGAGAATTTTTTTTTGGACCCAAATATAAACAAGGACGTCTGAATGGGATTCGGGGTTAAATTTCATGCTTAAAAATGGTGCTTTTTGTAGTTTTTAAGAATTGACCCATTTTGGTGTCCAGGGAAGGAAATTCCTGATGCCGGGGTCAGGGATGTTTGTGCTTCGGAGGTGAAAATTTCTTTTTGACTCAAATGTAAAAACGGACATCAGAATGGGATTTGGGGTTAAATTTCATGCTTAAAAATGGTGCTTTTTGTAGTTTTTAAAAATTGGCCCGTTTTGGTGTCCAAGGAAGGAATTCCTGATGCCCGGGGTCAGGGATTTTTGTGCTTCGGAGGTGAAAATTTCTTTTTGACTCAAATGTAAAAATGGACATCAGAATGAGGTTCGGGGTTAAATTTCATGCTTAAAAATGGTGCTTTTTGTAGTTTTTAAGAATTGAGCCGTTTTGGTGTCCAGGGAAGGAAATTCCTGATGCCGCGGTCAGGGATTTTTGTGCTATGAGGTGAAAATTTGTTTTTGACCCAATGTAAAAACGGACGTCAGAATTGGATTCAGGGTTAAATTTCATACTTAAAAATGGTCCTTTTTGTAGATTTTAAGAATTGAGCCATTTTGGTGTCCGGGGAAAGAAATTCCTGATGTCAGGGTGAGGGATTTTTGTGCTCCGGAGGTGAACTTTTTTTTTTTGACCCAATGTAAAAAAGGACGTCAGAATGGGATTCAGGGTTAAATTTCATGTTTAAAATTGGTGCTTTTTGTAGTTTTTAAAAATTGACCCGTTTTGGTGTCCAGGGAAGGAAATTCCAATGCCGGGGTCAGGGATTTTTGTGCCCCGGAGGTGAAATTTTTTTTTTGACCCAAATGTAAAATCAGACGTCGGAATGGGATTCGGAGATAAATTTCATGCTTAAAAATGGTGCTTTTTGTAGTTTTTAAGAATTGAGCCGTTTTGGTGTCCATGGAAGGAAATTCCTGATGATGGGGTCAGGGATTTTTGTGCTCCGGAGCTGAAAATGAGCTAACTCACCTCATTGGGGACTGTCAAAATATTGGTGGAAAAGTAGAAACAAGCCGTCCAGCAGCACTTAAATCATGGTTATGAGCAAATTGAAAATTATTTCTAAGAATTTCTAAGTTACAAAGCACATCAATTTCAGGGGACTCCCTACTTCTTACGATCCTATATTCTACAATCAATAATTAAGGAACAGAGAGAACCATTCTTTTCTATTGGCATGAAGTACAACATGGATATAACCATTGGGTTGTTTACATATTTGAGTTTTGTAAGTTGCTTTTTTTGTTTAGATACACACACTTGCAGGTTTGAGAGGAAAGAACTGAACTTGGTCAAGTAGTTACATGAACTTTACTATTATTGTTTATGAAAATAGCAATTCTCACCTATGAAAACTGACAAGGAATTAGCAGGGGGTGATCCATAGAATGGCTGACAAACTGATTCTGGTCACAGCTCAAACTTTAATGAAAATATTCCAAATTGTTTTTCTCACACCTTTGTTCTCCCTGGGCCCCCAGATAACCTATCAGAAGCTGAAAGTTGTCATGGAGAACAATCACAAGAGGAAAAAGAATCATTGCTTTCAAAACATCTTGGCAATAACCACACTCCTTCAGCACTTTGCATTCTCTTTTAGAAAAGTTCCGCCATTACACTGTGGACTTTCTGCGAGTTCTTGTAATTTTCTTACCTTACTCAGACTTAAAAAGTGATGTATATAATTGGTACTGGACCCCAGATAGACTAGCAAAAATGTATAAAGGGATTTTTAATAAGTGCTGGAAATATAGTCAAAATCCAGTTCATTTTATTGTATGTGGTGATCTTGCAAATATGTGAACACACACTGGATATACTTGTAAAAGGGGAAACTTGCTGCTTTTTCTTTTTTTTTCAGCAGCCAGGATGGATCCTACATATTAAATGTTAAATTTACTGTATTTGATCAATTTGTCCTCCTTTTTTGTACACTTTTTTCTTTTTTGTTGTTGCTAATATTGAATGTATGTTTTGTTTTGTTTTTCTCTTTTACTTTTTATGATAAACAATACATATTTTAAAAAGTGGTTTATATAATGTGACGCTTCATTTTTCTTACCTTTGAGCATACATGCAACCGCGAAGATGGCAGAAACCACCCTTTCTGCTTCTCTCAATACAAAGAGTCTCCTAATATTATCTTATTCTGTTGCTGGGAGGACTTAACAATGGTGGTGGTGGTTGGGAGAGGGCAGTTATATACTCTATTGTAATTAATACGATGAAGGAAATCTGGTCTTACTGTTTACCTACTTCAGAGAACAGCAAAGTCGTTCTCTTTGGTGTGCCTCAGAAATTGCAAACTGAATTTCCAGTTCTGAGGATAGAATGGAAATTTTGGAAGTATTTGTAGAAAGATCTTGGAAACCCCCTCCTTCAGGACAGAGCCCGTCTTTTGGTCTAAAGCCATTTATTCACACCACAGATATCTTGTTTGTCATTAAACAGCTAATGAAACAAACCATTCTTGGCTCTTTCTGTAAGTGACTCATAATTTGCCTTGAGCCTTGGCTAATCCTATGCCCGGACTAGGGATTGTAAAGATGACTTGATATCACAGTAGTTAACTTCACCTCACATTTCCTGACAGGAAATCTATGTGCTGCTTATCATTTATCCTTTGATGTCCATGGTAGGGAATTGCATTTTATTGTTTATTTATGCATCAAAGTTTGAAACCGCCCATCTCCCTCATAGAGAGACTCTGGTAGTGTATAAATAAAATATGAAAACATAGAGCTGTTTATAAAATTTAAAAGGAGGCAAAGAAGATAAAGATGAAATTCCACTCTGGAAACAGCAATCCCTACCTGCCTGCTGAAAACATGGAACCCTCTTTCCCAGTGGGGGGGAAAAAAAACTAGTTTGAATAAGGCAACACTACGCTTTGGGGTTCATCCAAAAAGTACAAGGGAATGCACTCCCTGCAACTCCACAAAGACTTGATTTTACAACTGCTTTTGACCATCATTGTTAAGGTAGTAATGTGGTCATTAAGTGAAGCACGTGGTCGAAAGTCCGAATCTAGTTTATCCAATGGGCGTTTTGTTGGACAATGTCAAAAAACATCACAAAATTTGATCACATGACTTTGGGACACTGTAAACGCAAGTTGGCTGTCAACACCCAAAATGTGATTACATGACCACAGGGGTGATGCAGTGGTCATCATTTCAAGGATGGGTTGTTAATTTTTTTTTAGTCCATTGTAACTTTGAATGGTCCTTTATCAACTGGTCATAAGTCAAGGACTGCCCGTACTGATAAGCTTAATATTAATAATTCAGCTTCTCCTTAAAGCGCTATCTTTAAAACTTTCCCAGTTTGAAAAAAATACCCCAAATCATTCATCATTCAAGATATATATAAGCAAAGACCCAGATCACCAATATGGAAAAATAAAGATCAACAGCCAACAATAATACTCAGTCAGTTTTTAAATTAAAGAGGACGTACCTGTACACGTAAGATTTCCCTCAGCCAAAAATCATCAACAATTTAAAAAACAAGAAGTGCATATAATTTATTCAGAAACGAATGCATTGCTTTGCATTGTACTGTGAATTTTCAGTAATAATGATATGAAGACAGATCGCTATCTGTAGCAGGTAACTGAGCCTAGTTTCCCTAAAACAAATATAAAAAATTAACTTTGATTACATTCACACCAGTATCATAGATTTCTACTTCTGACAAGTCTTAATAGGGGGAAATAGAAGAAGAAAGAAAGTTATAAGTAGCTTCTAGTTTCATAAAACATTTCCAAGATAATTACTACACCAAACAGCACCCTCCTCCGTTCATTTTGGTGTTGTAGTTTTTGGACTGAAGAAAGAAGACATTGTTTTCATGCCACTCTTGTCAACTTTCGCTAAAGCTTTTTGTGAAGCTGACATTTTACTGTTTGCCTGGAAGTAAGAACAAAGTAAAACGTCAGCACAAGTTTAAGACTCAATTTTTTTCATGTAACAGGACTCATAAATGGTAACTGCACACAATCCTTCACACATTTTATTCAGAGAGTCATTATAAAAATCATGCCAATCCCAAAGAATCAACTAAGATAAAAAAAATAAAAGTAAATGATCTGAGAAACAAATTCATGTAAAAATACCCTTTTCCAGATTACATTGTGAAAAAAAAGTACAAGCATGTTCTTCCTAAACCATGTGACCTCCTGAATAGATCAGTACATAAATCTTTAATATTGTTGATATGACTTTGATAATCATGAAACAAAGACTGACATAAAGACCAGACAAGAGTTTCTGCTTGATTTATAAGCTATTATTCAACTCTTATGGTGACTAAACTGAATTAAAATTCTTATCGGAGGAAAATCTCACCAAGACAATAGTAAAGATAGACTTGGATAGCTATGAGACCTGAGCAAGGTAGCAAGAAGAAATCTCCATGGTCTCCACTGATTTTAGTTAGCGAAATCTTTGGCCAACGCTTAGCCAAAGTTCATATTGTATTTCTCTAATAATGAAACTATTTCTATTCCTCCCAACCAAATACTATTCTAATCCACATAATTTTTAAAAACAGATTTGCACTGCTATTTCACCCAAAGCAGACAACATGTATGAGACGCTACTAACATCAATTAACTCCACTAACTCCATTGTGCATATCATAGCAGCCACATGCATAGGAAATCTGCCTTGTGAGGAATCAATCACTTCTTTGCAACCTTCAGTTAATAATAATTAAGTTGGAAGGGACCTTGGAGGTCATCTAGTCCAACCCCCTGCTCAGGCAGGAAACCCTATACCATTTCGGACAAATGGCTGTCCAGTCTCTTCTTAAAAACTTCCAGTGTTGGAGCATTCACTGCTTCTGGAGGCAGGTTGTCCACTGGTTAATTGTTCTAAGTTTCTCCTTAGTAGGTTGCTTCTCTCCTTGATTAGTTTCCATCCATTGCTTCTTATCCTGCCTTCAGGCGCTTTGGAGAGTAGCCTGATTCCCTCTTCTTTGTTGCAGCCCCTGAGATATTGGAACATTGCTATCATGTCCCCCCTAGTCCTTCTCTTCATTAAACTAGACATACCCAATTCCAGCAACTGTTCCTTATATGTTTTAGCTCCCAGTCCCCTAATCATAAGCCAGTTCACCGGCTTAGCAGGAGATTAAGTGGGCAATCTAACCAGTGCTTTCAGTTTCTGCACTACTTTTCATGTCCTCTACTGGTACTTTTATGTGACAGCCTGGTTTTATACTAAATCAGTATCACAAGCCCCACTGATCTCTGTGGGAAACATTGTACTCAGCTGCATTTTCCAAAAATAACCCTTTTAAGGTGCTTGCAGAGCTAAAACCTGGCCCAATTAGGAAAAACACCAAATATATTAATGTCAATATTGCAAAGTACTGTGCACATCATACTAAGGCAACATTTACCCTCTGGCAGTGATCAAACACCTCACTGAGCCAAAATCAAGCAAACATCATGGCTTTGTGAATTCTGTAGAAAAGTAATCTAAATCTCTAGAAACCAGTGCTTTTAAATCTTTTTAAAAATAGTTCTTTAAAAAGGGTAGTACTTTTTATTCTCTCTCCCTTCTCTCCTCGCTCTATTTAACATTTTATCTAGCTGTTTTGACAATTAAGACACACTATTCTGAAATACAGGATTCTATTGATGTCTTATAGATCATACTTGCTTAAATAGCTTCTCTGTCTTCCTTCCCCCCTTTTTAATAGGCCTTATTACTGATAGACAAAATATGAGGCAGGAAAACACAAAAATACATACCTTTTTGTTTTTCAGATCACCAGTATTGAATTTAGTATAATCTTCCTCAGCTTCCACAGGACCATCTGACAGTTTCCTTTTCTGTAATGTTAAAGAGTGATCTGAGCCATAAATCACATATTGGGCTTGTGAATTTTACAGTCAAAAATGTTCAGACTTTATGGAATAAACTTAGACATACACCATAGAGAAATATGAAATATCACTGTATGATCTAATCTTTGATGATTAATTAGTAAATCTAAAGCTGAGATGTGAATTTTGAAAGTGCTGCTATGCTATGCTTCTCAGTTGTCCAAACTCCCAAAATGAGACAGTCATGAAATGACACAAGTGGAATTTGGGATTGCGTACCACTTTATCACTTGAAAATACTTATCAGTGTAGCTAGAAGAACATACAAAACCGTTTGTCCATGAACAATTTCATGGTTTTCAATTGCTTTGCTTATGAATTCTATGTTTCAGATCTTCTGTTCCACATATGGACAGAAACACTATTGTTCCAGGTGTTCCATTACATTTTAGCTACTATAATTGAAAATTGTCTCTTTAATGCCATCTGGTGGTTGTCTGAATTTTTGCATGTTTTTTCAATAGCCAAATTATCCAATACAATTTTTTTTATGCACAATCACAGAATATTTAAATTATTTCAGATTTTTGTTTCTTCTAATCCTCAGCCAAACTTAAACAGATTGGCTGAATTTCTGAATGCAATTTTGGCTTGAGTTCAAAACAAAACACATTTTTTCAGTTTTTGAACACTCCTATTAGTTTGGGAATCAGCTTGAGTCCTGTGAGATACAATTCTCCCAATTAAATAATTACTCTTTCCCAAGAAAAAGTTTTTTAAAGGATTCAGGTTTTAGTCTTGCTTAAGTCTCCTGAAGCTTTAGCATTTCCATAATGAGCTCAGGTGAGATGTCAGGGTAAGACTGCACCCATGGTTTAAAGGGTATTTTTACATGAGGATGCCCAGTAACTGAAAAGGTTACTGAACCAATTAAGCAGCCTGCATAACTAAATTGATGTCACTTATATGCTTGAAAAAGCAAACTCTCTTTATAACAAAGGTAATCAATATTTCAAGAATTATCTTCAGTAATGAATTCAAAGCAGTTCTTTTATAGCAAGGATTTTTTTTTTCCAGTCCAGTTGTAAAATCAGTGAGCAACATCTAAACCAAGTGTGGAGAAACTATAGGGTTTTCTCGAATATGCTGGATTATGATTCCCACAATTTTTGACCAATGGCCACAGAAATGGAGCTTATGGGATTTGGAAATCAAGCACTTCTGAATGGCTCAGAGTTGTACGTTTTGAGAAGCAGACTTTCTTAAGAAGTCCTTACCTTTGATGCTGGCTCTGTGGGAAGATCTGTACCTTGTGGGAGTCTGGAAGCCAGAAAGGTCAAGTTAAACTCTAGAACTATCTGATTCCATCAGCCTATTTACTTCACTTAATTATGTCATTATGAAGCCTGTTGTGAGTTTTCCACAGAAATTAATTTACAGTATTATAGTGCATTCATCAACAATTAAACAAACGTTAGAAACTATGAAGCTTCCTTTGAGTCAAGTTCAACTCCTGGTGACTTTATGGACATGTCCTAATATTTTTTTTTTAACAGTACAGAAATACAGAAATGATTTGACATTGCCTACTTCCAAGATGTTTTTTCCCCACTATTCCAGCCCTGATATTTTCTGACCACTTTCCACTGAAGTTTTAACTAGATTTGACCGAACTAAGCTTTTTCAAGATCAGCCATGGTCAGCAAATGTGTTTTTATACACTTACTAACTCATCTTAATGAAAACAAGTATTAAGAGCACTATTTGAGAATCATTTTGTCTTCACTGATGGTTTACTGCATCAGTCCTGTGCTGAACCCTTCAAGCATGCGAACCTTCTCTCAAAGATTAAAAGATAGCAAAGAAAACAAAACACGGAGTCAGACATATACACACAAACACAAAACTGAGATGCCTCTTCTTTCCTAAACAACTCCCCTCTGGAACTGGGATGGAATATAGCATTTCCAGAAGAGAAATGGTGTATTCCAGAGGCAGCTCAGTCCAGATATGTTGTGTGAAAGAAAGAGAGTGAAAGAGGCTCCTTCCTAACAGTTCTTGGAAAATATGCTTGATGTAGAGCACGGGTGTCAAACTTGCCGCGTGATGTGAAGTGTCGTGACTTTTTTCGCATTGTCAGAGCTGGGGTGGGCGTGGCCTCCGCATGATGCAACCGACCCATGGGCCAGCAGTTTGACACCCCTGATGTAGAGAATAGAGTGCTTCAGTTTGACAAGATTCTGTCTACAGGTGTGGAACAACAAAGAATTCTGCTTGGAAGAATCACCTTGTGTCTTTCCTGGGTTTTGGGCCTGACAGGGATCCTCAGAAATCAGACAAACAAACCTGATGCAAACCAAGATCTAGTCACAGAAAGGTCTCTGCTGCTTTGAGGAATATCCCCACCATTCTATGAAGTCCAGTTTCTTTCACTGAACAGTGTACTCCCAACTTGGAAAAAGGGACAAGAAAAGCAGTTGTATGGAAGGAAAGCAGGGAAATAGGGAAGGCTCCACTACCCTACCTAAGTCCATTTTTCAAACCAGTATTAGTGATGGAAGCATGACAGGAAAATTCTTGTTTGAAGCAGTTAGTTTTTTTTTAAAAAAAATTCTCACCTTAAATAATTAGCCAATGTTCCACTTAGCTCTTCGGGAATATACTCTGATATTAAGCCATGAGCATAACAAATATAATCCTCTGAAAAATAAATGAAATAGATATTGCATGTTATTCATCGATCTTATTTAGAGGCTTCATGTGCCAATTGTATTCATTTTTTTCTTCTCTTACTCAGTTCATCCCAGACACAAATGATTTTGCCAGGGTCCCTTTCTGGCAATGATTAAAAAGGAAAGTAAAACCTCAGAGTAAGTTTCATAAATCAAAATCTATGAAGGCAAACTGGTATATTTCACTTTAAATACCTTTCTTCAACAAATGTAGTTATCTTACCTTCTGTGCCACTGTTGGCCTGATTATTGCTGATAAATGTAGCAGCCTGTACTTTTCCACTCACAGGTATGCTATTTTCTTTTAATACTTTCACCAGTTGGTTAACCTAGGAAAAGCCATAAAATAGTACCATCATAATCAAAGTTTGAAGCCACACACTGAAATCCTTTACATATATTTCATAGAAAACAGTGCCTCTTTGTCATAGGGATAGGAAGCACAGACCCTCAGCATTATCGAAATGCTATCTGTTCAGGCAATGAGATTTTTTAAAAACAGAATAAGATATTCCTATTTAAGTTGTTCAGCAGAAGATTATGAAGAATTATATGCATACTATGTATCACTATTAGAATCATTGCTATAAGATAGGCAGCTGTAGAACTCAATTAAATAAACACATTTTAGTAAGTGATTAATGCACACTGTTAAATTGCAATATGTAAACCATCCCCCCCCCCAATGTAACAAAATTTCTTCCACAGTAATCATACCGTGGCAGGAAGACTAAAGCTAGCAGAATTATGCTAGTAACAGCCATTTTGTTGCAATTGCCTTCTTGAAATTGTAAAAAAAAAAACTTTTTTTTTAAAAAAAGTAACAGTTGTGTTACAGAACCCATGTCTGTTCGTTTTCAGACTATCACTAAATTGATTATGCTATATTACAGATAAAAAGTGAATGTAAATATCTATTGAAACCAACATGGGGCATTCTGTCCAATTTAATTCAATCTTTAATTCAATCTTAGCTGATTCTTTACCATTTTTTCCAGATTTTCTAGAACCTCTAATATTGAAACAACTATAAAACTATGAAACGGATGCCATGTATCTGAGTCCTTGGTATGATATTTTATAAATATATAATCTAATGCTGTTAGAAGTATGTTTACTTTTTAAAAGATAAAAACTAGGTCCCAAGAAGCAAGATCAGCCAATTCAGTCAACAACTGCAGTGAAATCAAAATCTCGTATGAAATGGCTAGCATTTTCTCTACACAATGAGAAAAAATATGCCTTAAAATCAAATTTTCTTTACATCATTGTTTTCCAGTTTTTATTACATATTTGCTTTATAGTTCAAAACAATGTATTACACAACAGATCTGTCATTGAAGAAAGAAATGCTATACTTGATATTAAAATGGATAATAGAGAAAAATATACCTTTTTATTTAACCATGTCAGTGTTTTCTTTTCACTGTATCTAAAAAAATTCTTACCATCTATTTCTGAGAATAAAGAGAAAGAGAGAACCAAACTATATTTACTCTGTGCATTAATGGAACTGAGACAAAATACAAATTTATTTCAGTATTTGGAGAAGTTTGTCAACATTATCAAATATTTTAGAGATGATGAATATATACCTTGAATATGCACACACACACATACACAATTAACTAATACTAAATCTAAACCACAGTCTAGTTAATTTATCTGAGTATTATATAAAATATCTTACTTTTCAATTGTGAATAGTGCTTTTCAGCTGTGTTGCATTACAATTCCCAGTATCCTCAGAATAGCTGTGCTACTGGGGGGGGGGGAGGGAGAGAATGATGAAAGCTGAGGGAACCAGGTTGGGAACATTTCACTACAATTGGTAGCAGCCCTTTAGACAAGTATTTCTCAAACTTGGCAACATTAAGAAGAGTGGACTTCAATTCCCAGAATTCCTCAACCAGACATTCTAATAGAGAATTCTGGGAGTTGAAGTCCACACATCTCAAAGTTGCCAAGTTTGAGAAACACTGCTTTAGAATTTCAGAATCATGCTTTCACAGTCTTGCAGGTGCTGAGTTTGATCCTTCTTTTTATTAGATGCAGTTAGAGCAAATGCTTATATATTTAATGGAGGGCATCTCTGGAAATATGAATATTATAGGCTGGATCTTGAATTTGCCTCCTAAAAATAGGTGAGCTCCTTTCATCCATACAAAGCTTCTCATTTAGTAGGGCATTGGACAGGCAGCAATTTTTGCAGACTGCTATAAAAGCTACAACATACCCTGCCCTATCCCCTAATTCAGGGGTCTCCAAACTTGGCCGCTTTAAGACTTGTGGACTCCATGCTGGCTGAGGAATTCTAAGAATTGAAGTCCACAAGTCTTAAAATGGCCAAGTTTGAAGACCTCTGCCCTAATTCCTATATAGATAGTCTGCATTTAGCGATGGTTTGCAGTTGTGGCACTGATGAAATAGTAACTTTGCAACCAATCCTTGCATTCACAACCTTCAGAGGTTGTAAAGCAAGGGTGTCAAACTCGATCGCATCACGTGACCGTATCGCGACGTTTTTTTGCCTTTGCAGAGCTGGGGTGGGCGTGGCCTGCGCGTGACGCCTCTGGCCTGCGGGCACCAGTTTGACACCCCTTTTGTAAAGCAAAGAAAAGCTGAAGGAAGATCAGTCAGTTTTACTTAGTGACCGCTTTGCATAATGACTGAGTTGCTGATCCCAATGGTGGTTGCTAAACAAGGACTACCTGTAATCCTTGAAGGCCTCCCCCCCCCTCCCCATCAGCATAGGCGATGGGAGTTATGAGTTAGAATTAGGGGAATCAGGAGAGAATTGGCTCTGCCTGACCAGGAGGACTATCCTAAGCAGAACACTCTCCGGTAGCACTTCAAGGGACAGAGGTCTGGATTAAACCCTAAATAGGCAACCTCAGCAGTTTATCTTAGAAAAGATCTCTTTGTATTCACAAAGGACACCAGATTTATTCTATCTCATTTCTCTACTGGTGCGAGGATGGTTTGTGAGATACCCAACACAGCTGGCTATGTCAAGTGGCCTAACATAAGTAGTGGCTAAAGTTTGCAGGTCTGCATTAATTATTAATAATTTTTGCTTGCTTTGTACCTTTTTGCTCAGCTATGTGGTGAACTGACTGCAAAGTACTTGTGCACTGTAGCAATTGTATGCTGGAAGAAAACTCTTCATCCACCAAAACCTGATCCAGTGGCTGAAACTTTCCCTGCTGAAGGTGAGGCAGAGGAACAATCAGTTTTTTTAAAAAAAATTAAAGTGATTCAAACAATTCTTAACCAAAACATCTTATTGCCGAGCCAAATGCTCCAATAAATAAGAAAGCAGCAGAGCATTAACTATAATTCCAGAAATTTCAGAATTTTAGTTCTTGAAACATTTAGAAATGATGGAAATTTGTTTGGGGGGGGAGGGGAAGGGATATATAATGTAATGTCATTTTCCTGAAACATTTTACCTCTTTCTCTGCTCTGATGAGGTAGAAAAGCACAAGAAACAAGGGGTCCATTGGTGTAGCAAAAAATAGACGTCCATCTGAAGGTGGAAAAATAAATATTCTAAAAGGAACTGTACTACACATTCTGGACTGCTTCCATAAGTTAGGGACAAAAACTAAAATGATTCAGCAGCAAAGTCAAACAGCTACAATCTATCTTTGCCAATTTAAATTTAGACTTTAAAATAAAATTTTAAGAGGATGAGTATATTACAAAGAGGAAAGATGTTGTATATTCAAATTCTAAACATCTGTTGTTTCCCACAGACATACAAGACAATATGCATATAGGGCAATAAAAATAATGCGACTATATGCTACATCAAATACAGTTTCAAAACTTTTCTAAGAGTGTCATGCAAACCAGGAAAAGATGCAGCTGTTTAAAGAGTTGCAGGCAAGTTTTATGACCGTAGTTCAATTTGCTATGAAGCCATTTTTTAAAATCAAATTTGAAGTGCTCTATAACACCCTCCCCAAATTTCATAAAAACATCTACATTTTTCTTAAAATAACTGCTGTATTAGTATTTCCCATATGGTTCTAAAATTTTTACCTACAAGGCAAAACTGGATCTCATGTGAATCAAAGTGAGAAGAAATGGATTGGATGTTGTGATTCAAGTAAGTATGGTCTGCTAAACATTTCTGCAGAATTGCCCTATTTGGGCATAATAATTTTCCACTTAGGGTTTAAAAAAATTGAGTAAAACCATATATGAATAATTTGGTTTATTTCCCCCCTCCCATAAGAAAGACCCTAGTCTAAGTAGCATGTTTGCCCAGTGTAGAGTAACAAAAAAAGCATAATTGTACCTTATCTGTCTAGCCTCAAGAGAAATGAGATGTCAGAAAAAGCCAAACTCTCTCTCCAAGGTGCTGCCAGGGGAAAATGGACCATTAAAAAATGTAAGGTGCAATCCATTCTCTGAGCTCAAAATTTTCTCAAAACCCAACTGCAATAAAGACATGCAAAAAAAACCCCTTTTTTTCCTCCTCTGCCAGACATAAAGATCCAAAAGTGGATAGTGATACCTTCAAATCACTGTGAAAAGATCATCCTAACACTTGATACAAGTCATGATGATTCAATGAAATAAATGACAATTTGTTGGAACATCCCAATTTCTACTTCTGTGAGGGAAGAAAGAAATAAGCAATCATAATATGAATAGCTTTTAAGAAGTGCGATTGCGACTCAAGGACTTGCAACAAAAGTGGAGAGTCTATGGAATTCCAGGAATGTTACATTAAACTACAACTCCCAGCATCTCTCATCATTGACAATGCATCCAGAGAGCCAGATTTCCCAGCATTAAGGGAGCATTAGGTGAGATAGATCTATGTCCTGTTCAACCTTACACTTACCATATTGAACTTCTTGACCAATAAACCATGACCGGTATGCTTCATGAAAAGCTTTCATTTCAAATATGTGGTATGCATCACTACCAAATAAATAAAGGGCAGCTTGTCCTGTTAAGAAAGAAACCACTATCACATTCTGGTTTTGCTGTGCAATATTTTTCCAAGGCTCATCTGACTGAAGAGAAAACAATAGTATTTTTACAGAAAAATATCTCAATATGTATGAGTGGTAAGCAAAAGAAAATTTAGCAAATGTACAAAAGACAAAAAAGGAATAGGAGGAAATCAACCATACTATTCCACTAACAAATAATCAAACAATAATTGGATATAATTACCTTCTATACCATAATATGTCAGCTTTTAAAATTTCAGCTAACAAAGGGATAATAGTAACCAGGAAGAGGGCAAGACTATTACTATAAAAATAAAAAGAAACCAATCAGATGGCATCAAGCAAGTAATATTTTACAATGTGAGCCTTGCCTGTACTTGGATGTGGCAGCCTTGTAAATAAAGGCCCAGCACCTGGCTTCTTTGGGAGATCAGTTGCAGTTTCTGAAAGAGAGGGAGAATGCTAGAATGTGATAGGTGCCCATACATAATTATTATAGCACCTTAAAAATCATGACTATGAGGTTGTCTGGTAAGTTCTGAAGAATAGAAATTCTTTTCCTAAGAACCAAGCAAGTCTTCCTTTTGTCCTCTTCAAACTTGAAAGAGTTTATTGGCTGAACCCTATCTTTTGAGGGCAGCCTTATTATAAATAAGGTTGGAAGGCACAGTCCAGATGTTTCTTTCCTCAAGCTTGTCATCAATGCTCTTGGGCATGGAAATAAGATGGCCAAGTCATTTCACTTTACCCTGATATCATTGTCTGATTCAGAAGACAGCGGCCCTTGTCTGGAAACCACCAACACAGAGTTCTTTGTGATCTCTGACTGTTGTTTGCAGATATTTCATTACTGAGTTAGATCACATCAGTGCCACCGTTTCAGATTAAAAATAGAAGAAATGCAATATTTGGACTGTCTTCAAACATGCTACCAGGTTTTTCTCTTTGTTTCTAAACCAGTGTTTTTCAAACTTGGCAACTTTAAGATATGTGAACTTCAACTCTCAGAAATATGCAACCCAGCATGTTCTGGGAATTGAAGTCCACTTGCCTTAAAGATGCCAAATTTGGTCTAAGGGCTCTGAGTCTAGACTGATGCTGAAAGCCCAATGAGACCAGATGGATTCAGTGCCTAGTTCACCTTCGCTAGAACATAAATTTGGGGGGAAATTGTGCTAAGTGGGGCAGTCAAGCTTCTTTATCTATGCTTATCTAAAAAGCATGGAAGAGATGAATCAAGGGGGCAACAATCACCTGCTACATTACATTTAGGAACCACTTGGTCATAAGAGTGTAGGTAAGATCCCATCAAACAATTGGATAGTAGGTAAAATCCCACCAATTGAACTCCCCACTAGCTGAGGAATACTGGGATTTGAAATCCAAACATCTTAAAAGTTAGCAAGTTTGAGAAACACTGCAATATGAGGCCTGGATGGGAGAACACAGCATCGACTGGACAATCAAAACAAAACATACTATGAGGGAGCAATAGCAAATCTCTGCATTTTAGCCAAAATGTCCTATACACGCGTGCCCATCAAGTCGCAGAAGTTGAATTCAATTCTGAAGACAGATTCATTTTATTTTGGATCATCCAACCTCTTTGGGAGGGCAGGAATAGCACGGTTCGCTATCTCTAATATCGTTGTGGGACAGTAGGAAGGGAGAGGTCGCAAACGCGGAAGGCTAACACAACGCCCGGCAGCCTTCACACAACCACCCAGCGGCTGTCCAAGGCAATATAAGCTCAATCGCTTGAATGCAGCCCGCAATTAGCCCTTCCATGTACTGAAGGGAGCCGCTTCTTTTAACACGCCAGGATCGGCTGGCTCCGGGGCACGGTTACCTGGAAGAACCATCACCCACTGGCAGCGGCTCCCACCGCCGCGTTTTTCTGCCCGAGCCGTTGGCCGCTTCCCCTTCCCGCTCGGCATTTCGCTTCTGCTAGGAGCCACAGCCTCCGTCCGGTCTCTGCTTACTAACCATAGAGCTATTAATGGTAGAGCGGCGGGTGCGATTTGGCTTGCGAGTCAAATTTCAAAAACAGTAACTTCACTGCTGCTCCTAAACCAGCCACAGGCAGCTGCTTTCCTGCGTGGGAAGCTGAGAGTAGAAGCGGATGCTCTGCAGAGGCGATGTAACTACACAGAACTCTTGTTACTGTCTCAAATATAGCGGGATTGTATATTTTTGGCGTGGGCCTGGATGCAAAACGGAAGAAAAAAAAAGGAAAGCAAAAAAAGAATCATAGGCATGATTTGAAAACATTTGTAAGGTGACCAACTTTTTTACAATGAAAAGGAGGACACAAATAAATTGAAGAAAAAAATATCGTAAATAAAAGAAACATTTTATTCATTGCAACAATAATATAGATGACTTGCATATGCCAGCCGGGTGTTTTGGCACACTCAGCAGCAATTCCTATTGGCTTTTGAAAGCCAATAGTGGGAGTAGCACAACTCATGCAAAAGTTGAAAAAAAAAAACCATCTAAAAAAGGTGCCAGAACACCGTTCTGAGCGTTCTATGAGGGGAAAAAAAGCCCTGCAGATTAGTCTTCAAATATCGAAAAGGAGGACATGAAGGAGGACACTTTTTGAGGGAGGACAGAACTTACAAAAGGAGGACTGTCCTTCCTAAAGGAGGATGGTTGGTCACCTTAAAATTTGTAAAAAATACTTTAACGTGTTGTGTATAAACTTAATACTTAAGCATTGTGTCTCTCTGTGTGTAATGTGTGCGTACCACTGCTACACTTCTGCAGATCTTTCCTCTTCAGCTTTGAAACACACGCCTTTCTAAAATCAGATAGCACTAGCCTGCAGGTCACTCTTTTGCTCTCTTTATCTGTTTGAAATACTATCTCAGAACTGTGCCAAGTCAGTCTATCTTAATACGTGGCTTTATTGGCATTCACGTTAGCAGGAAAAATACCAGTTGAAATTTAAAGAATTTGAACATTTTTAAAATTATTTTTTTACCCGTGAGGAATTTTGCCGATTTTTGCATTTTTATCCTACCTCTGCTCTATGAGTTCAAGGTGGCCCATGTGGAGGGTTTTCCTTTTTCTGTGATACGAGATGGGGTGCCCTGAGCAAAACTGACTGTCCCAAAGTTATCCATTGAAAATATAATGGACTCAAACCAAGGACTCTCCATACCGATGCTTTCAGCAAAATGTTTTACCAGCACTTCTCAAACCTGCAAGACTTGGAAACCTCGAAAGCAATATTGCTCAAATTTGGCAACTTTAAGATGTGTGGACTTCAAATCCCCAAGTTCTCAAGGCAGCATGAGGCATTCTTGGAGTCCATACTTTTTAAGATTGTCAGGTTTGAAAAGCACTGTGACATCCATATTGCTCTCTATTATTTTTCATAGGCCATGGCCACTTTTAGAGAAAGAAGGGGGGGAATAGCAATAAAGGTCTCTATTTCAATTTATCTTAATAGTTCTTTGCTGCCATTTTTTTGCCAAGAAATGTAACAGTGGGTTGAGCGTTCTGGGAATTGGATTAAGTGAAAGCAGATTTTTGGGCAACCATTTTTTACAACGCATGACAAAAAAGAAACCTTTTAAAATTAAGGTATTGGTATTCTACATTACCCAGAAGCCATCTCTTAAGGAAACAGCGTTTAACCCTTTAAATGCTACATGTTCTTACATACAGTTCTCTCAATGATACATTAACCCTGTAAATGCTAAATACTCTAACACAGTTCTAGCTGGCTACAATCCGGTCCAGCACAATTGGTATCACTGTGCTTTATAGCCATAATGTACAATTTCTTTGGATCATAAAAATGATGGACTGTTAAGATCTAAAAATATATTTCTTCAGATCATACGCAGATTATTAATATGACACATTTTATTCTCATCTTCAGCCAAGAATTTTGCAGATCAGTAAAAATAAATGAAGAATACATCTACAGTAGCTCTTTCAGATGTTGGGGGATGGCAGTCCAAATTAGGCATCCCTGCATGATTAGTTTAGATCAGGGGTGTCAAACTCGCAACGTCACGTGACGTGTCACGACGTATCACGACTTTTCCCCCATTGCTGGAGCTGGGGTGGGCGTGGTTTTGGCATGCAGCAGTTTGATACCCCTGGTTTAGACGAAGAGGTATCCGACACAAAAGCTTCAGTTCTGAACTGAAAAAGCTTTTTGGATGAGAAGCAAAATGTTTTCAAGGGAAAAAAAACAAGAAGATCCAGTTACCTTTTAAAAACACTTTTGGGACAATTCTGTTGCTGCCATCTTATGGCTAAATTATAGGACTTCAGCTCCTAACTATTGCCACTTCAGGGAAGAAATCACGTGATTGCAATTTTTTCTCCCTCCTTATTGTTGTATGCAGCTATCAAAAGCAAGGATTTGGATGGACCAATTTTGAAACTTATCACGACAGGCTTCAGATACAGAAGGATCTGGACAGACTTGAACACTGGGCACTAACTAACAAAATGAAATTCAATGGTGAAAAAAGCAAGGTTCTACATTTAGGCAAGAAAAACCAAATGCACAAGTACAGCATAGGTGGCACCATGCTCAATAGTAGTAACTGTGAGAGGGACCTCGGAGTCCTAGTAGACAATCACTTAAATATGAGCCAGCAGTGTGCTGCAGCTGCCAAAAAGGCCAACACAGTGCTAGGCTGCATTAACAGAGGGATAGAATCAAGATCACGTGAAGTATTAATACCACTCTTCAATGCCTTGGTAAGGCCACACTTGGAATACTGCATCCAGTTTTGGTCACCACGATGTAAAAAAGATGTTGAGACTCTAGAAAGAGTACAGAGAAGAGCAACAAAGATGATTAGGGGACTGGAGGCTAAAACATATAAGGAACGGTTGCGAGAATTGGGTATGTCTAGTTTAACGAAGAGAAGGACAAGGGGGGACATGATAGCAGTATTCCAATATCTCAGGGGCTGCCATAAAGAAGAGGGAATTAAGCTATTTTCCAAAGCACCTGAAGGCAGGACAAGAAGCAACGGGTGGAAACTAATCAAGGAGAGAAGCAACCTAGAACTAAGGAGAAACTTCCTGACAGTGAGAACAATTAATCAGTGGAACAGCTTGCCTCCAGAAGCAGTAAATGCTCCAACACTGGAAGTTTTTAAGAAGAGACTGGACAGCCATTTGTCCGAAATGGTGTAGGGTTTCCTGCCCGAGCAGGGGGTTGGACTAGATGACCTCCAAGGTCCCTTCCAACTTTACTACTATTACTATTACTATTACATGATACATGTACATACATGATACACACACATACATACATACATAGAACTGTTATTGCTGTTAAGAAGCCTCTTCCAATATCTGGTAAAACACCAGGAGTAAGTAGATTCACTATTGAATAGTATAAAAGATTTATAGAACATTTGGGACAAAGAACTTGTCAAGTATATGAAGAGATATTTGATAAGGGATTTTTATTACCAGGATTTAACCTGGCTTATATTACAATTATGCTAAAAGCAAGTAAAGACCATATTTAATATGCTAATTATGTTTCTTTAAAAATCTTGGTTTTGCAATGTCTTATACTTACCAAGCTTTGGGAAAAAGTATTGGATTACATAATTGTACACAAAAGCCAAAATTTTCAGATACTATTCTTTTGAACGACATATCTAGTACATGGAAACTGACAACTGGACAAAGCAAATGGATTCTCCATGCCCTTACTATGGCCCAAAAACTGATATAGCAGTATTGGAAAGATAAATGTATGGCTCCTTTCACTCAATAGATTGAATTCCTAATTGTCACCTATGAGCAGATTGCCTGTAGACCTAGACTTTGCATGGGCAAATAAAATGAAATATGGGACTCATTTATACAAAATACAGTAAGTTAATAAAATATAATTATATAAATTAGATACACACAGAGAGATAACTATATACAGTATTGTAATTATTTAGTTAAAATGATACATTATACCTTTTTCTTTTGTTGTATTTTTCATTTTTTTAAAAAAAGTGTTTTCCCTTTTCTTTGATAATGCGTACACTATCATTTTTGTGGGTTTCCCCCCATTTCTCTGTCATTATTATAACAGCAAGAAAAGAATAAATAATAATTAAGAAGCCAATATCAGAATCTGCTTTTTCACAAAATAAACCCATTATTTTTGGTCCTGTTCTCTGGAACAATTGGAGAACAGGTCTTTATTTTCTTCTCTAAGACAACTTTTCAGTTTATTTGAATAGCGTCCATAGAATTTAATTTCTAATCTGCTGATTATCCTTGCAGCCTTTCTTTGAAACTGTTCCCGCTTGTTTCATTGTACTCTAGTACATTTGATTCAGGTAAACGAAGAAACGGCTCTTTTTTTCTTTCGGAGCAGCAACGGATTATATACAGTACTTCTTTTTTATGTATCACAAAGCCAGGTAAATAATGAACGGATCCACTCCCAATTCTGCTTCAACTTGGGGAATTAATACCGGTGGCGGGGGGAAAGCATGATTCTTTCCAAGTCATCTAGAAAAAAAAATTCTCCGCGTATCCCAGATTAAGAATATAGTTACATCGATTTTTGCCTTTGGTCGCAGGAAACCCTCCATTCTAACACCGCAGCGTATTTTTAATCGGAACCGGAAATCGAGCTAGTGTGGACGCCTATGTAGCCATTTGAGGTGGGCGGAGGAAGAAAGTACGACAGACGGAAGTCTGTTCTTCTTCCGGGTGAAGCATAGGACGCGCAGCGGAGCGGCTTCGGTGTATTTTCTTTGCCCTCGGTGGTTTCGGCGTCTACGGAGGTTTCCTTTTTTTCTGCGGGTGAAGCCGAAGTATCCGAGTACCGTTGCCATGGCGATGCAAGCGGCGAAACGCGCGAACGTGAGTCGGGCAGGGTAGCCATTTTGAACGGTCCCCTCTCCCGTTTCCTTTAACGCGCAAATTTGTTTGCCTTTTATAGTTTGGGAAAACAAGAAAAAGCGCGGAGGTGATCGGGAAGCCGTCAGTTTTCCTGATTTCGTACCCGCCCATCTGGGCTAAAATACCCGTCATCCACAACTGTCTTATATGTGGTGGGAATTGTAGTCCTGGCCTTCTATAATAATAAAGTTGGAAGGTACCTTGGAGGTCATCTAGTCCAACCCTCTGCTCAGGCAGGAAACCCTATACCATTTTGGACAAATGGCTGTCCAGTCTCTTCTTAAAAACTTCCAGTATTGGAGCATTCACCACTTCTCGAGAGCTTTCCTTTCAGAAAAGCTTGTTGAAGGGGATGTGGCCTGAATGGCCTGGTAACTCGACTCCCTGGCCCTAATATCTGGCCTGCGCCCTATATTGGGCGTTGGCACCCATAACTCCTGCCATTATGGCGTGTTAAATAGGGGAATATGAGAACTGAAGTCTGGCCCCCCAGGGTTGCTGAATTAGGTAGCAACCACTGACATAGTGAATAGAAAGGTAAAATTAGGCATGCTTTTGGGGTAGGGTGGGAATAGGGAAGCTTAGGTTGGACAGCTTGCCATCAATTAGAATCAGGTAAATTTAATACTTGAATTGTAAGCACATGTAATACGTTGTTGGCAGCCACAGTTGTAGTTCAGTTATTGACACTTGGAATCAGTTATTGAGTGTAGAAAAATATAAAGAATTAATTGTATTGGAATACATTATGTATGTGTATCGAGGCAATATACCATCACCCTATTCTCTATCACAAAGTAGAATGCCCCCCTCCAGTTATTCCAACAGTTTATTTAATTCAGTTTAGATGCTGCCCAACTCTGACAGCTCACAATAATGTAATAAACAGTAAAAACACAGTACAAAACAGAACAGGATCTGGTTGCTCTATAAAAAAATCATAGATGTAAACATATCCAATAAAGAGCTCTATCATCATATCCCAAAGTCTCGAAGAACAGTCATAAGATTTTCATGGGATGGGGGGTGGTGGGATGGGGGTGAAAAAAAGGCACCACAATAGAACAGCATACTTCCTGGATACCAATAGATGCACTATTTAATTGAAGGGACCCAGAGTGTGTCAACTCAGCTGGCTTGTACTAGCTGGGCAAAAAATGTGGGAGATAGGCAGTCCTTAAAATAATCTGGCCCTGTGCCCTGCAGGATATTATAGATGATAAATAGCACCTGATATCAGTGGTAAACAGTGCAGTTCATAAAACAGAGGTGTCACAGGGTTCCACTGAGGCTTGCCTATCACTGCCAGCATCACTGCATCCTGGACCAGTTGAAGCTTTTGAAGGGCAGCCTCAGATATACAGCATTGTAGTAGTTTTGCTATAAAGTAACTTGGGCATGAGTGACTGTCAAAGGAATGGGTGCAATTCTTCAAACAGCAGTTGTGACTCTGAGAGACTCCCTGTTTGTGCGCTGCACACAGTCTCCAGGTACTAGTAGTATCACTATTTGACATCTTCTCTTGTCCTTTTTAGTATCTGGGTTATATCATCTCATGTTTGGGTTTGAGAGCTATACTTGGGCATCATCACCTATTTGTAATACTGAACCCCAAGCCTGCAGAAGATCTCATCAAATGTTTTGTGCATATATTAAACAGGAAGGGATAGAACAGCAAAGCTATTAAATCAGTAATAGCTTATCAAAGTTGCCTATTTCTTTCTTCTAAAAAACAGATTCTGGGAACTCTGAAAGTAATACAGTGAAAACAAGGAAATGTTTATATGTATGTTTATGTTCCTAAAAGTTACGTTTGTTGTATCTAGATCCGTCTACCACCTGAAGTCAACCGAATTTTGTATATCAGAAATTTACCATATAAAATCACAGCCGAAGAAATGTATGACATTTTTGGAAAATATGGACCTATTCGACAAATCAGAGTGTAAGTTTGTTGTGTTTTTGAAAAACTGAACTTCGAATTAGACTTGATGCAGTTATACAAAACAGTTTTTTAGTTGGTAAACAAATCATTATTGAAGTTTAATAAAATAGTTTCTATAATAGTGTCGTAGTGCAAGAAACCTCCTAAACCTCGCTTACTTACTTAGATCTCTTTTAATATGTTAAACACTTTTCCCAGCTTTGTAACTAATCTCAATCACCCTAAGCCAAAACAAATTACATTACAGCGTGACAAAATATGGTGGAAATTAAGTGTCTGTGACTTATTGTGTAGCGCAGTTGAAGGCGTAATAAAATGAATTTAAGTCAGAGATGAGCAAATTGCTCAGCTTTAGGATTAAATTTTAGCTTGTGTCCTGTCTAGGGCTGCAGAGACATGGCTAATAGAATTGTGATCCCACCAGAGTAGATAATTTCAATTTTATTCCATTTGTATACTGCCTCAATCTAGGATTTTTTTCATGTTAAGGGAGTGGTTTAGTAGGTCAGAATGATGCTAGAATATTAAGGTATCTATTTCAACCCTTAATATATCTAGGTCACTATAAACAGTTCTGAAAATGTCAGCTCTGTTCATTTGAGGTGGAGGAGGGGGAGAATCTGAAGATTGCAGATAGGATGCTATATGAAGCCAAGTGCCTGCCTATTTACACAGGTAAATTCATATAAAGTTGGAACTAGTGTTGTGAACTGATTTTAAGAATAGCTGAAGTCTTAGGAAATTTTTTACTGTGACAAATATCACCTTTGAATACTGCTTTGCTGACATTTAAATGTGTTATCTTGCAGAGGAAATACTCCTGAGACGAGGGGAACCGCCTATGTAGTCTATGAAGATATCTTTGATGCCAAAAATGCTTGTGATCATTTGTCAGGATTCAATGTGTGCAACAGATACCTTGTTGTTTTGTACTACAATGCAAACAGGGCAAGTATATTCCTAAAGCATGTCAATTCTTTAATTCTGCTGTCTTTTTTTCCCTTTTGATGAGAATATCATGGGGACACTTAATTTCTTTTCAGATATTCAAACCAGGGGGGTTTTAGCTGTAGCAAATTGAAGGATCTGGTTAGAGAAGTGAGATGGTGTTTTGTACATTTTTGTATATTCTGCAATATAAAAGAAAAATAGCTCCATACATAGTTTTCCAAAAGAAAACCATCTCTTAAAAAAATGAAAAATTAACCTCCTATATAAAGGTCCACATACTCTACAATATATATGCATTATTGCTTTCTTGACTTATTGTATTTTGATTATTTTTAATTCTGGATTGTAAATCCTGGATGAGATTTCCCCCTTCGAAGTAGCATTGGGAAGGAAGGCTGATATATGTAGTCATTAGCCTTCTCGGTGTAATATTTCTTTCAGCTTTGATACATCATTGCTAAAATCTGCAGAGTGCTTGTAGCATGGTATAATAGTCTCAATAAATCTTATTTTGGTGAATGTTAAGGATATTTTTGTAAAAACATGACCATAAAAGTTGCTGATTTGCCAAGTGGGGAAGCAGATAATTGGAGATTTCTATGTCAGGTAGAGAATTAGAGTTTCTACTCTAAAAACTCATCTTAGTTTTATATGAGTAGAGAGAAGGAACAAATACTTTCTCCTCCTTCAACTAGATCATTCATTTGCTATAGTTGCTAGGCTACAGCAAAATCCTTTGCATACAAGATTTACTTTTCAGTGACTAAGAATACAGAATAGCTCTTGCTTTTCAGTATCCTTTCTATTATTTATGACTAATAGTTGACCGTACCATTTCAATTTCCCAGTCTAGGGTTTTAATACTGCTTATTCCTGACATAATTAACTAGTGATGTATCTCTAAGATAAATATATATAAACTCTATGTGATTGTATTATATTAAAAGAGATCTAGAGGCAAGAATAATGTACAAGTTATTCTTAAAAGAACAAAGATTGTTTGTGTAGAGGAGTAACACTAACTCTTAATGTAGATTTTCTTTGTTATTTAATGTTCTCCAAAGCTTAAGAGTCATGTTTAGTCTACCTGCAGTTTTGGATATAGCCCTCCAGATATGTTTATAAAAATTAAAAGCCTTAAAGAAAACACCTACTAGCTTGTTTACTTTCACATGTAGCTTAATTTTTTGTAGTGCATGGGTGGTCTCTTCCATATATCACAAGCACTTCACAAACCTACAAATAGACATACAGGAGGACTTATGAGGCCTCTCTCTCTTGTAAAGCAGCAGTGTTATAATGGGGGAGAGGCAGCTTGAGGCAGCCAAGATAACTTAAGGTCAGCATGTTATTGTAGAATACATCATATCTTACCCTCAGTTTGGTTTGTTTTCAAGATGTATGAATTTTGTAGTTAAATCGCAAACCATTTTGATGGTAAGTAACCTGAATTGCTCAAGATTATTGAATTCCCAAAGTGAAATTGGCTTAAATGTTTTTTGCATTAATAATATGTTGCTTTTAATGTGTATCTTTGTCCTGTGATAGGCATTCCAAAAAATGGATACTAAGAAGAAAGAAGAACAGCTCAAGCTTCTGAAGGAGAAATATGGAATAAACACAGATCCACCAAAATAAAACTTTTCCTAAGGAGCTGATTGTTTTGGATTATTTAAAAACATCAGTGTTTCTGGGCCAAATTTCACCCCCAAATATGGACACCTGGTTTATAGAAGCATTGGTAATTTTAGTTCCTCATTTGATTACATAACCATCTTGATTGTTCTCACCTTTAGAAGAATTATTCACTGCTGTATAATGACTGGCACTTAAATTAGCTAAGGCGTTGGGATAACATTTTTCCACAATTGAGAGATCATATTAATATAACCTTTTTAGCCATTACAGTCGGTGGAATGTGTAAAATATTCTGAGGGTTCAGTCTCATATTTAATTTGTAAAGGAGAAGCATGCATATTTTAAAATATATTTTGGTACTTTACTTCCTAAGCATAGCCCGTAATTTGTCTTCTTTGCATAATGTGTTGAAAAAAGCTGTCTGATGTACTTTAAACATTATAAAACATTTTCAGGGCTGTAGGAAGGGAATGAGGAAGTGAAAAATTCTTGACAATTATCTTGTATGTACTATTACACAATAATTTGTTTACGGTTGTCATGTTCCAAGAGGTTCAGAACTGTTGTCTGTTTGAGAGTTCCATTGCTGACCTGTGTCTCTTTGGTTGCAATGAGCTGGACCAAGAATCTGACAGCATTTGAAAAAGAATAAACCCTTCTTGATCACATGACCTGCTTTAAAAAAAAAACAAGTTTGGAGTTGTGCAGACATTTTCTTTGCTTAAAGTGTATAGAAATGTTCAGTTTTGCTAGTGAGGGATAACACTTTTGCAATCAGATACAGTAGAGGTTAAAGATTTGGTTAACTCTCTTGTATAATATCTTTATTATTTAGAAATAAGGGTTTTTTAAAATAAAGTGAGCTTATTTTAAGAGAACAGTTATGTGATTTTCTTACTAAATGATTCTAAATTTGTTTCAAGTGTTATGATTTCTACACACTCAAGTGTTGTGCAGTTTTGATTTTGTTTGTTTGTTTTTGGTCTTAAAGCAGTACTATTTGCATAAATGCCCAGGCCCATTTTACTTACACTTCAAAAAGGCTTTTGTAGCTGTGTGCCGTGTTTTCACTCAAGATTTGTTAAGGTCCAAAGTGTGTAGGGTGGTGGCCGTCTGGTATTAGAAAAAATATTTTTCTTAGGCTAACTAAACAACACAGTAGCATTTTGGAGGTTTAGGACAAATTCATTTGGCCAACTCACCGCGGGACAGTTCAACACAGGGTAACTCAAGAGAGGGACAAGTGAATTGCAGGGGGCCTTGTCTTACTTTAGGTTTGAACCTTCTCAAATTAGAAGTCCTCAAGGCAGGAGTGACCTGAAATTCTACTTGTCTCTCTCTTGAATTATCCCATGATGAATTGTCCTGTGGCAAGTTGGCCAGGACAAGTCAGACACAGGGAGTTGTCCCATTCCAGCATTTTGGTATCACTTACAAGCATGGGGATTCATAAATATCTAGTGGTTGTGCCTTAATTGGGTTGTTGTCTACAATAAAACAACATACATCTTTCTCCGTTTACCATGCATTGGTAGTAGATAGGCTGGATCCAGAATTCTTACAACTTGTGAAACCAGACCAGAGACTTGACTGTTTTCTGAAGGCAGACATTTCATTTGTCTGCTTTAAGGATCCTATTTCTGGTCTCATTTTCTGTGTGAGGTGAAATAATTAGAATGAAATGGAAAGCAAATGTCTGGAGGTTTAACTGTATAAGGTTACTCAAGATAGTTGCAGTATCACTGTACAAATAGCTTCTCTAAAAGATATGGAAGAGTACAATTCTCACTTGCTTTTGTAGCAAGACTTTAAAAAAAATATAATTGTGCCTAGAAAGTAGTGTATCTTTGTCATCTTTTAATGTAAACCAGAAAAAATACATTACCCTTAAATTCAATTCACTGACATAATATAAAGGTCTATTGAGTTAAAATGTGTAAATTTTAATATTTGTCTTAAAAAGAGTAGTGTCCAGTTTCTCAGCTTAGGTATAATTTTGACAGCATATGTAGAGCAGAGGTCCCCATCCTTTTGGGCACTGGTTCCGTGGAATGAGGCTTTTCTGTGGACTGGAGGGGGTATGGTTTTGTGTGCTGCCTGCATCTCGCAGATGTGGTTTTGCTTGTTTGTGAGGACTGGTTGCTGGCATGCCGCGGACCGGTACTGGTCCATGGACTGGGGGTTGGGGACCCTTGATGTAGAGGATATAAATTCTAGGAAAAGTGGTTTCTCCTCATACTTAGGGAGTATGAGGTTTGAATACTCAAACTGGGTGGTAATGAATTAGATTTTTCATGTATCAGGACTGAGCAATGACTTGTCTTGAGTATAGTTAATCTTTTATGTTCACAATTGTGATTGACCCTTCCATTCTCCCATTTCTACTAGTTAAAATACAATACTTGTGCTAGGAAGCACCTTGAGGAATCAGTCACCAGACTTATACATTACAACATTGTGCAGACACCTCCCTCCTTCATATTCACACTAAGCCAAAGCAAACCATATTATGTCTCGCTATAATGAATACATCCCAACTACTATTCAAGAAGGAAGAACCAGTTATGGGGAAGACTCAGGAAGCAAAGGGGGCTATTCTTTCTTCATGATGCCATCTTGTTGGAATATTCATGAACAGGAAGAGTCATGTGGTAACTCAGTCAGCCAATGCGAAGAGAGTCTGTGCAAAAAGAGTATTGAGTTAGGAGCTGGATTTCCAGTCTCAAGTTTTGTCTCTGGTCTGTCTCTGTAAGAAGTCTTCATTAAGCTATGTTGCTGTAAAGAAGAATGGTATTGTAAATTTTTTTATATAAATATAAAGTTATTTGAATCAGCTAAATGCAGTCAACTATGAGAGCTTCTGATTTATTTTTTACCAATAGAGAAATTAAAATTCTCTAATAGGTTGTGGGCCCAGAGCTTACTAAAGACTGCATTGTAATTTAAAGCTGGAAGAAATTGCCTGTGTTTAGAAAGTATAAGAACAAGGCAGAATTAGCAGAATGGCTGCAATGGAATTTAAGGAAAGCTGTGTGCCTCGTTTGGGCCAGAAGAATTACATTATATGGGCTGCAAAAATGGAATGTTTGCTGAAAGCTAAAGAGCTGTGGTATACTATTGAAAATCCACCACAAGTGTTTGCAGCAGTTGATCAGAAAAATCATGATCGAGCAATGGCTTATCTCATCTTGAATTTAGATGATGAACAATTTCTAAATGTTGCAAATTTAAAGACTGCAGAGGAGATTTGGTTGAAGTTGAGAGCTGTGCACGTGAATGTTTCTGCATGCAATATAGTGCAATTGTCAAGAAAACTTTACAGGGCCAGTTTGCAACCAGGTGAATCTGTGGAACAGCATTTAAATAAAATGCAAAGTTTATTTTTGGACTTAGAACAACGTGGGATTAAATTCCCTGAGTCCAAGAAGGTTTTATTGGTGTTGAACAGTTTAGATAAAACCTGGGACACCGTTTCTGCAATATTTGAGTGTAAAGAAGAGCAAGACTTAAAGTTTGAGGCTTTAAAGGCATGTTTTCTTAATGAAGAAGAAAAACGCCATTTTAGAAGCAGCCATGAGGAGAAATTCCTGAGGAGGGGATCCAGACTGCAAGTCTCCGGAGGAGAAGAAACAAGCAGATCGGACCCGGACCAAGTTGCAACAAAAGAGAGATTTTGCAAGCAGAGAGCTTTGCAAGAAAAGAATTGCTACATTTGTGGAGCGAGCACACATATGAAAAGGAACTGTTTACAGAACAACTGTTTGCAGCAAAGGACATTTGTGGAAGCAAAAAAGACTGATTTGCAAAAGGAACATTTTGGTGTTGCAAAAGTTTGTTATAGCAACAACAGAGACAAGTGGCTAATAGATAGTGGGGCAAGTCAAACAATTGTTAATGACTCTGAATTATTTTGCAGGTTTGTTCCAGTAGCACAAGAAAATGGCCAGAAAGCAAAAGTCATTGGAAGAGGCGATGTAAAAATTCCATATTTGGAATCAAAGTTTACCAATGTGCTTTGTGTACCTGAGATGGAACATAATTTGTTAAGTGTGTCTAATTTAGACAAACAAGGTTTTGAGATTATTTTTGTAAATGGGAAGTGTCTCATCAAAAGGAATGGGAATATTTGTGCAGAAGGCATAAAGGAAGATAATCTATATGTATTGCAGGGACAAAAGGTTTAATGTTCCCATATATTTAAGAATGTTGCAGAGCATGATTCATGTGTTCATCTTCTGCATAGAAGACTTGGCCATGCAAGCTTTAAAGTTTTGCAGCAAATGCAAGATTTTGCAGAAGGGCTAAATTTGAAGGGATGCAAAACATATTTGGACTGTGCAGTATGCAAAGCATCGAAGTCAAAGGCATTCCCAGTTAGTAAATATAGCACAAGACAAACAAAAAGAGCTCTAGAGCTGGTCCATGCAGATCTGGTGGGACCTATGCAAGCCAGTTTGGGAGGAGCAAAATATGCACTGGTAATGGTTGATGATTATAGCAGGTATTCATTTTGCTACTTGCTTAGAGCAAAGACAGAGGTGCTACAACAATTCAAACAGTGGGTAAGTTTTGTAGAGAGAAGGTACAGACAACAAGTGTGTCAGCTGCAAACTGACAGAGGTACTGAATTTATGTCAACTAAATTCCAACAATGGTTGGGGCAGTTGGGGATAAGACACAGACGTAAAATCCTTACACAGCAGCAGAGAACGGTGTAGCTGAAAGAAGGAATGGTGTTTTGCAAACAATGAAAGATTCATTATTGGAGGATTCTGGTATGAGCAGGTCATATTGGGGAGAAGCCATATTGACTGCAAATTATATAGTTAACAGGCTGTGGAATTCCTCCATTAATAATACCCCATATGCCATTCTATATGGGAGAAAGCCATCACTGGCACATTTGAGAATTTTTGGAAGTACTGCATGGATACATATTCCGAAAGCAATCAGAAGAAAGGGACAGCAAAAAGCAAGAAAGCTCAGGTTTGTGGGCTATGAGCCAGGGTCAAAAGGATATCGCTTTAGCGATGGAAGTAAAAGAATTATAATTTCAAGGTCTGCTAATTTTGCAGAACAAAATTGGGACAGAATTAATGCAAATTCTGGGTATGTCTCACTTAATGACGGTGATTTGTTTAATGACAATAACTCATCTAATGATAAAAAATTGATTATTGAAGATGTCAATGTTCAGGGAGGAGAAGCTGAAACAAGACATGAAACCAGAAAGAATTGAGACACAGGAGCAGTTAATACCATGTAGGTCAGAGCGATGTAACAAAGGAATTCTGCCTGACAGGTATTCTGCCAGCAAGGTAAAGGTTTGCAATGTGTGGTATGAGCCAAGAAGTTATAAAGAGGTGTTGGCATTACCAAAAGCTGAGCAAGAAAGATGGAAGGAGGCCATGGACAAAGAGATGAAATCCATGGGAGACCATGAAGTATTTAAATCTGACTTTGCCACAGGGAACCAAAGCGGTGGGTTGTAAATGGGTATATAAGAAAAAGGTATTGCCAAATAATGATATATAGTATAAGGCCAGGTTAGTGGCACAAGTTTTTTCACGATTAAAGAATGTATTAAATTAATAAGTCTGATGTCTCTTCCTGTCATGAAGGGAGGAGTGTTGGAATATTCATGAACAGGAAGAGTCATGTGGTAACTCAGTCAGCCATTGTGAAGAAAGAGCTACTGAGACTGTGCAAAAAGAGTATTGAGTTAGGAGCTGGATTTCCAGTCTCAAGTTTTGTCTCTGGTCTGTCTCTGTAAGAAGTCTTCATTAAGCTATGTTGCTGTAAAGAAGAATGGTATTGTAAATATTTTTATATAAATATAAAGTTATTTGAATCAGCTAAATGCAGTCAACTGTGAGAG